TTTTTTTTTTTTTTCATTTCCAGAGTTGATGAGCGGAGACGAGTTTATCAGCACCAATACCCCCGATGGCCGCTTTCTTCTGGGTAAGACAAATGATTGCTAATCTACCATCCCATATCTATGTTCTTATTGGTCTGAGGATGCTTGCAGATAGACAGAAGAGAGGAGCTCATTGCTTGGGTAATCCAATTAAAAGCATGCTCGTACTAAGTGTCAGCGTAGGCATCAATCACTTTTTGAAGCAGCAAGAAAACGGATGCGCGTTAGCGCAACGACTTTCGCTAGTTGCTGAATCCGTTGCTTGTTCAGTGGATTTTACTAATCATAATAACATTTGAAGCTAATTATAATAATTACTAATTAATTTCAGATTTGATAGTTATTGTAATAAATATTATAATTTTAATTAATTAATTTTATAATATTTACTATTTTATTATTATTATTATTATTATTATTATTATTATGAAAATTAATATAATTTTTTAATTACATTTTATAATGTTTTGTTTATTAATTTAATTTTTTTTCTTTTAGATTACTATTATTATTATGCTAATACTTTTATTTTATAATACTTAGTAATTTATAATAATTATGATAGTTATATAATTTTTTAATCAAATAAATTAAATATTTTATTTATTACTATTATATTATTATTTAATATAATTATTTTAATTTTTTATTTAAGATTATTTTTTTATTCAATATTTTATTATAATATTTATTACTATATTTATTTTTATTATTTATTTAATAATATATTTTAAGCAATATATATATATGAAGTGAATAAGATTCACCCGGGCTCCTTCAACTCGAACCGGCCTCCGTACCTGCAGAACCCAACGCCGGGGGTGGCCCCGGCGTCGGGCCTCCGATGCTTAAGTCAGTGCTCAGATCATGAGAGAGAAAGTGCAGTAATGTAATGTGGAGAGGATGAGAATGAGGTACCTTGGCCCCCCTTTTATAGGGGGAGTGTACCTTTGTGGGCTCAAGTTGGGCTTGGCCCATATTGTTGGGCTTAGATATCTTAGTGGGTTTATCTTCCAATATGTATCCGCTTTATCCATTAAACCCGGTCCAGTATAATATCCTATATCATCTAGTCCCCCCCACTCTGGTCGAGTAAGCATAACTCGATCCAAGAGTGGAATGCCTTTCCGAGCTGTTTTCTTGCCACTAAGATCGAATATCCTCCAAATGAGCATTGAGATTTCAAGATAAAAAAACCAAAAGACCACGGAGGTCGGAAACCGAATGATCGGACGTCGGGGTCGAACATCGAGTGATCTGGGACCAAAAACTGAAAACCGAAAACTGAGAGACCGCTTAGATCGAAAACCGAGAGTCGAGACCGCGGAGGTCGAAAATCGAGCATCGAGACCGCAAGAGGTCAAAAACCGAGAGTCGAGACCGTAGAGGTCGAA